TTTTTTATTTTATGGAGAATTCATTAATGAATGGAGAAAGACGCAACACAAACAAGGCACAACGTGGACAAAGTAACGCTACAGTCCACTCACAGAAATGAACATAATATTTGATTACCAAATGCAATCAAGATAACACGACATATCACTCCTCATTCGCCAAGATAGAAAAAGACACGAGTATTTAATTACCCGATTCCAGTGAAGCCACGTCAAACATATCAAAGCAAATTACGATCTAAATCGAACTTAACAAAGTAAGCCCAACACAGATCAACGTATACACCATCAAGGCATCTAGATCAAACTTACCAAAAAAAGCCCTATAGTTGCTCCAACTTGAATAAACCTGTACCAAGGGTTCCTACTAGTCGAACCAAAGTTTCCTTTTCATGCCTTTAACATTTCATTTAATAAAACAAACGAAAAAAGAAGGCAAATCCACTCTCATAATCATAGCTTTACACTAAAAGCAGCTTGGATAAAAAATTACTAGTTAAACACTATTGCACAGCGGGAGCCCTCATTCAACAAGAAAGAAATTATTCGTACCACACAACTGGGTTGAAAAAAAAGGACATATTTGCCACAAACCATACCAAAAGAATCAAACCCAGTCAAATAAAATCAAAACCCCAGGCTTAATCAAACCCAGTCAAATTAAATTCAAACCCCAGGCTTACTCTATGAGTATTAGTAACTCCCACACAATTAAACAGTGTTTCCGCGGGACTAAATCGTATAAGAACGGGAATTTTGAAGTAAGCTCGCTATTCAAACCATTGATTACAATTAACTAACAGCAAGAAAATTTCTAGGGCAAAACAAGAAGCTTGAACTTGATGACAGTAAACAGAAGCTCACCTGCATCGAATTGGCGTTAGCTTGCGATTTCTCTTGCGCCCCCATTGCAGCTAACCCCTCTCTGTTCCAAATTCCCCAAAATCTCGCAAAGATTAGTCGAACCAAGTGCCGCGAAATGAAGCTAAATTAGGGTTTCGAGGAACGAGGAGAAAAACAGATGCTGTGCTTATAAGCGGGAGATTAAGGTTCCGGGGATCAATAGAAAACCCTAACAGCCATTAACGCTGCACTGTAAAACCTTCGACTCTCTGTCTCTTCTCTCTCTACCTCTCCTTCCACTCTTTTCTTTCTCTCTTTTCTTTTTCCCTTTCTATTCGTTTCTATGCAAGTATCCGTCCCCGACCTTCGATAGAGAAGAGAAAAAAGCAAGGAAGGCAAAGAGAGCAACTAAATTACACAATGTTCGCCACCAGAGTTCCCAAAATGCCCTTGGTCCCTGCTCAAAATTACATAAGCAGCCATTGACTTTAAAGTCTGCGCATATCCACGCGCTTTACCATGGCAATCCAACGATGGTGGTTACTTCCTCCGCTGGGTCCCTCACCCGCCTGTGACCTAAATACGCTCACAGATTTTCCTGATTGGCCCTTGGGAGAAAAAAAATCACGTGCTGTGATGTGCTGTAAACCGGTAGCATCGAGAAGTAGAGACCCACGGCGTTGACGTTAGCAAAACGAAGCTGCTCTACGTTGTCTGAGGGAAGAAGGGGGAGGAGCTGCCACGTAATGTCGGTAATTGGAGGATTATTCGTACGGTTGCAGTGAATAACCGGAGGAATCTTTGAGTTCCAGGCGATAATAGACCGGTGAGGAAATTTTCGTTCAAAATAGTGAGATTTATTTTTTTAAAGAATTTTATTTCTCAAATCATTTTTTATCGATTTATTTCTTAATTTTATTTAAATTTTTAATAATTAAAAAATTAAATAAGGTACTATATATTTTTCAAACCAAAAAAATATATATATAAATTTTGTCAAAGTAAATATTTGTGTACCCAATTTCTATAGGTTAGATTTGATTTTTTTTTAATTTAGGCATAATTATAATATATTGTGGATGTTAATATATTTTAAATTTTATTCTTTGACTAAATTTAATATTATTCATAAATTTACTATAATAATTTTTTATAGAATTACAATGATTAAATATTAATTTTAATTTCACATCAATTATATATATGAGATTTACAACATTTTATTTTAATTGAATTATGTAAAAGTTTATTAATTAATTATAAATATTACGAATGTAAAACAAAAACCAACTTACCAAAATTATTCGTGGAGACCGTTGCGAGTCTTAACTAAAACTGAATTGAATCAAGATTAATCGTAATGAAATTTTGAATATGTCAAATTATAACGGAATAAATTTAAATTTGCACTGTAAAAACTTATTCGAACTATGTTTGCTATTATTTATTAATTAAAAAATAATAAATAAAATAAGTACATATGTATAACTCTAAAACACACAAACTACACCTATGTAATCTACATGATGTAATATTTAAAATGATAAAAAACAAAGTTTTTTAAAACAATCAAAATTATTTTTTTCACTTAAAATTTTAAAATGTATTAAATAAAAATTTTTATTTTTACCTTATTTTGAAATATTTAAAGAGCAATAATTTAATTATTACGCAATAATTTTATAATTTCCAATAATTTGATAATAATCATATTGATAATATAAAATAATTATTAATTAATAAGGATAATATGTAGTATACTTTTTAGAAAGCATGAAATAATAATGATGTCAAAAACTCACACGAAGTGGTTGGCACAAATTTTCCATGGGGGGATGTTTCCCCGTCGCAGAAAGAAACGGCGGTACAACACGCGCCACGCGCACGTTAGCAAAATTAGACAGCAGGGTGTAGTAGTTTAACAGCTCCACTCGGCTTTGATATCTCCGCCTCCTTCCTCTCTCTCAACGGACTTATCGAAGCTTCATTCACTCTCCATTTCTCTTATATCTCAATAGATCCTCCTTCTTTCTCTCGGAAATTCCAGCTGTTCCTCTGGTTTCTCTACGAAGTGCCTAAAAGATGCAATCGACTCTCTCTCTTTCCTTCTCTCAAACCACCATTCCCAGATCAAACCACTCCTGTGATGTCTTCTCCGGCATTAGTCTTTCGAAGCCGATAAATCTCCGCTTTTGTGGACTCAGGAGAGAGGCGTTTGGTTTCTCGTCGTCTTCTTCCCTGACTCGCTCCAATTCACGCCGACTCCAACTCCCCAGTCGGAAGCACGCAGTATCAGCTTCTTTGTCTGGCAATGGGACTCACTCGAAATCGTTCGACTATGATTTGCTCATCATCGGAGCTGGTGTCGGTGGTCATGGAGCTGCTCTGCATGCCGTTGAGAAGGTGCTGTATGTGTTGCTTCCGCTGGTTTATTTTTGACGGTGATGCCGAGGCTTGGATTAATTTGAACATTTCGTTTGTTTAATTTTCGACCTGGAGTTTGTGTTCGTCGGATTATCAATATTGTGCTGTTCTTGGTGCTAAAATTGACTTCATCGTGTCGGATTAGTTCCTGAAATTCAAATTGCGAGCTCCAATAAGCTTTCTATAATTGATCGACTTGTTTAACTAATAATGGAAATTATCTTGGTGGTTTTGTTCCTTAAAAAATGCGTCAAAATGTATCCAATGGCATTAGTTTCCGGCAGACATGCTGAGATGGCTTTATTGGAGCGAACATATACTATACAAAAGAGAAAGGTGATGAGAATGCAGCACAAAGATCTGCAATGAACTAAGTTCCGTTCACGCGGCATCAATTATCTGCGGCATTACATTCCTGATAGGATACATAAAGTTTCTTATTCTATGCTATTGAAATTGTGAAACACATAGGATGGATGATTCATACCCTTCAATATAATTATTGCAGGGGCTAAAAACTGCCATTGTCGAGGGAGATGTGATTGGAGGAACTTGTGTAAACAGAGGCTGTGTCCCTTCTAAAGCTCTCCTGGCTGTGAGTGGTCGGATGCGCGAACTACAAAGTGAGCATCACATGAAGGCTCTGGGTTTGCAGGTAATTGAATTAACTTAGATTGTTGAGGAACATATATACCCATTGTATACATATTTCAGTGCAAGTGCATATCTATGTAAACTTGTAAGGGAGCAAATAATCCTTTAGGAAACCATTATTCTCAATGGAGCTATTAGAATTTAGGTGCAATAGCACATAGTGATAGATATTAAATTCTGGTGCTACTAAATAGTCTCATTTTTTATTTCAAAAACTAAATAGTCTCATTTTTCAAAAAAAAAAAAAAAGACATGTATTTAATTGATCTTGCTCCTTTATAACACAGGTATCTGCAGCTGGGTATGATAGACAGGGAGTTGCTGACCATGCCAATAATCTTGCTACAAAGATTCGTACTAATTTGACCAATTCATTGAAGGCGCTGGGTGTCGATATATTGACAGGTGTTGGCACAATCTTGGTAAGTTCATTCTTATTTTCTAATATAATGTTTCTGTCACTAAATTTACAAAGCTTATTGTTTTCCATTCTTTGCTGGATTCATCCAGGGTCCTCAAAAGGTGAAATTTGGGAAAGACAATGTAGTAACTGCCAAAGATATAATCATTGCCACTGGTTCTGTCCCTTTTGTCCCCAAGGGCATTGAAGTTGATGGTAGATACTTTTATTTTCCTTATTTTTTCCTTATTTCCTGAATCATTGGTCGTATTCCATGCTTTCTCTTGGTCAGAAGTTAAAATCAGACAGATATCTTCATCTAGAATACCGAACTTGCGGTGAGAAACAAATAAAAATTTCAGTGAATTATTCTGAAGACTTGAATACACGCAGGGAAAACTGTTATTACAAGTGACCATGCTCTCAAATTGGAGACTGTTCCTGATTGGATTGCAATCGTAGGGAGTGGTTATATTGGTCTTGAATTCAGTGATGTATACACTGCACTTGGAAGTGAGGTAGCCTTCTTTTCTTTTTCTATTACAATCACATTTCCCGTGAAGGAAATAAGTAGGCAAATTTTGAATACATCATCAGTGTTAAAGAAAGATCACAATGATTAAAACAAAATGGTGCTACTTGATCCTTCCTTTTCAGATGAAGTGCTTTTTGTTCTTTATTAGACTTATGTTTTTGGAACTTACAGTAAGATCTCTGAGGTTCAATTTTCCTTTTGAATCATGATTCTGGATTGATTCCCCCCAATTTATCATGCTGACATCGAGCTTGTAAGACTTGATGATCTTGAGATACTATGGAGTCTATGGTAGATTTGGATATGCTCTAATTTGTTCAAACATTATTTTCACCTCAATAGAATCAGAAGTGAACCAAGTTCATAAAATAATTTTATGCAGGTTACTTTTATTGAAGCGCTAGACCAGCTTATGCCAGGATTTGATCCTGAAATTAGTAAATTGGCCCAGAGGGTTCTGATAAATCCGCGGAATATTGACTATTATACTGGAGTTTTTGCAACCAAGGTAGTTTGTTATGCAATTTGGTACGTGACCAATGGTTTTCTTCTGAAAAACAAAGGTTCACATTGTTTTCTTTCACATGCCTTTTGTAGATTACTCCAGGAAAGGATGGAAAGCCAGTCATGATTGAGCTTATTGATGCTAAAACTAAAGAACCTAAAGATACTTTGGAGGTAATAAAATTTGTGTATTTATTTTAGCAGTAGGGAGCTTCTAGTATCCATCTTTGCTTTCAGTGCTGCTGAACTTTCATCTTGAATATTAACAATGTCCTAAAGGCAAAAGGCATTTTACTAGTTCTTCAGTTTCTCTATTTAATGCAAGGAATGAATCTCATAAAAAATTGTTTGCGTCTGTTGTAGTAATTTTCTTTTAGTTTCTGGTCATATTCACCGGTGAGTGAATTATGTTCTGCTAACTAATTGAAGTCTGCCTAACAAACTTATCTCTTGGCTTTAGTAACGTGGAGTTGCTTACTTACATATTGACTGGCATTAAATTAAAGAATGAACTTTATTAGATATATTGAAGTTCGGTTTCAATAACCACCACATACCTAGTGATGCTCTTCATCAAAAGGAAAAAAAAAAAAAAGAACCTAGTGATACTGGACTTATGTAACCTCTCTTGATCTTTGACTCGCTAGATTTCTTTACCAGATCAGGTGTTGCTATTGCAACGGCAATGGGCTACTCATGCGTAATCCTTCATTGAGTTTGTAAAGCTCAGCACTTAGGGGCTCTAATGAATTTCCCAGTTGAAAACCCGTTTCTCTCTTTTTTTATCAATAAATTGGATAATATCTGATTTTTCTGCATTTATCTAAAATATCCCGTTTTATTATTATTATTCTTCGTCCTAATGAGTTCTGCTGTTATGGCATTGTTGTCCTATAGGTTGATGCAGCATTAATTGCAACTGGAAGGGCCCCATTTACCAATGGTCTTGGCTTGGAGAATGTATGTCTTCTTAGCAAATGTTGTGATTCTAAGTTGTTTTCTCAAGAAGAGAATATGTTTTAACTTTTTCTTTCTTCAGATCAATGTTGTGACACAGAGAGGTTTTGTTCCAGTAGACGAGCGAATGCGAGTGATTGATGCAAATGGCAATCTGGTTCGTTTTTTAATTTTCTTATACAGGCACCTAAAAAGGAAACTAGAAAATCTTCTCCCTACCTTCTTCTGTTGTCAGCCTGTCACCAAATGTTACTGAAACATAATCTTATAAATTAGGTTCCACACTTGTACTGCATTGGTGATGCAAATGGTAAAATGATGCTTGCTCATGCAGCCAGTGCTCAAGGAATTTCAGGTAAGCAGTAGCTAAATTCATTATTTGTTCCCGTGAAAAATAGTTCCCTTGCTTATTTAATCCTTTGCATGTCTTTCTTTATACAGTGGTCGAACAAGTGACAGGGAGAGATCATGTGCTCAATCACCTAAGCATCCCAGCTGCTTGTTTCACCCACCCTGAGATAAGCATGGTTGGGCTAACAGAGGTAAATACTAATACATAGATGAAAGGTGACTCTCAAGTTGTATTCTCAATTGCATCCTCAGTTCACTCTACTATACATATTATATATATTTTTTAAAGTAATTTAGTACACTGTCAAATGTCAAGAGAAACTTACTTTAATGTCTCCCTGGATACTATAATTCTCAGCCTCAAGCCAGGGAGAAAGCTGCAAAGGAAGGATTCGAAGTAAGTGTTGCTAAGACAAGTTTCAAAGCTAACACAAAGGCTCTAGCAGAAAATGAAGGAGAGGGACTTGCTAAGGTGAGTGTAAATTTCTTTATTATTGTTTTCTGTTTTCATATTCAACATATTATTCTTTTTTTTTTTCTGATTGTCCTTCTCCTTGGGTCTTTCTTTTTAACCTGTGCCATTGTTTAACAAAATCATACTCATGCAGTTGATATACCGACCTGACAATGGTGAGATACTTGGAGTTCATATTTTCGGGTTACATGCTGCGGACCTCATCCATGAAGCTTCCAATGCAATTGCATTAGGAACACGTATCCAGGTAGGTCTATATGCCAACTTACCATGATTTAATCTTTTCTTTCCTTTAGAGAAAAACAACCGTGTATTGCCCTGCATCCTTGTTATATTGTAGGAGAGTTTAGAATTTATATATTTTAGAAAAGTTTTGGGGCCTTCAATAGCATAAGTTTTAATTTTAATTTATTCTTTACCTCCTCGAAAGAACTTAAAAAGTAACATAACATATCCTCAAAAAATATATCATCTCTAGTCTCAGATATGAACTGTTCAACAAACATTACACTATAGTTGGTTGTGATTTGTGACTATGCTTGGGTTTTTGCAGGACATTAAATTTGCAGTTCATGCACATCCAACCCTATCTGAAGTTCTTGACGAGTTGTTTAAATCAGCAAAGGTGAGAAATAACCTACGGACAGTGCTGTTGCTTTTCCACATTCTTAATTATGTTGCATCCGACCTGTGATTGCTAGTTTTTTCTCTCATTGGATTCTAAATTTCTGGGGGCAGGTTAAGGCTCATGCTTCTAGTCCAGTAAGTGAACCAGTTGCAGTCTAAGGTTCTCAACGCTCAAAAAGGAAAAAAAAAAAGCGAAATATAAATTTTTTTTGAAGAGTTTTGCTTGTATTAGGAAGTAGCAAGAAAGCAAAGGAGGAGAAGAAATCTACACATCGACCACCCTACCGGATTTGCTCGTGTCCTGATCATAGCTGTCCGTGAAATTTTTTGCTGCATCGTTGGTTTTTGGACCTTTTATCTGGTGTCTTGTTAGAAACTTGCATTCATAATTTATTTCCATAGAAAGGTTATTCTCCAACTAATTCTGGGACATCATTGATGGAAATCCCCAACTAATTCTGGGACAACATTGATGAAAATAAGAGTCTTAATGTATATTTTTTAGTTTCCTTTTTGGGGGCTGCCTCTGTGAGAAATGCTCTGGACACAGTCACGGGAGCTTAAGATTTTGGTATTAAGTTGATTTCCTATTCTCTTTTGATTGGGCTGCTATGAATTTTTAATTGGGTATTTTCCAAATATTTAGCCCCATCCTTCAAACATGCTTTTTCAAAAGGACCTAAAACAAAATATGGTTTGGGTGGTTGCAATCTCATGCGTATAATATCAGAATATAATATAAATAAAATATAACTTATTTAATATATAAGTAATTCTTGTATATTAAATAATTAAAATGCAAAAAATTGAACAAGAATAAAATAATATGAACAAACGATTGGAAAAAAATATACATACAAAATAATGCAATGAGATTTAATCGAAGACTTAAAACTTTTAAGGGTAAAGTTAAAATCACCAAACCTCGGAATTTTTACTGTAATTATAATATGCTGATTTTGTAAAAAGATTGTTGATTCGATTTGCCATTTTCAAGCTCCACTTCTTTCAAAATTTTCAGATTGATTTTACAAATCCGTCACACAAAATATTCAGTACACTACCAATTTGCACGGAGAATGTCTCCTCTAACTTGTGACTACAAGGAATTTTCCGACCAATTCGCGAGCTTCATCTGGAGAATATTCAGTGGGAGAAGAAAGAAACAGAGAATGCACTAAGAAAATAAAGAAACAACGGATGTAAGCTCAAGATATCAAAATTGTAAAATTCATGTCCTGAGATTTCTTGCAAACATCGGTTTTAACACAGTGCACACGGCCACAAACGTTGTAAATTTGAGAGAAGAAAAATAACAACACAGAGAAATCTAGTTAAATCATATAACTAGACAGTAAATAAACCAGCGAAAGCTAAAAAACAATTCTAGTTAGCTAAAAAATTTCTCCATCTCTATTCTTCTTCAGTTGCCGTCTCGCCGCTCTTCTTGTTGTGCTTCCTTGCGTACCTCTGGTTCCTCAGAAACTTCGGATCCATCTGAAACCCGTCAAATCGACACCGAACATTATCAGCATCGACAATCAAAAGATTCTCTTTTACAAAAAACAAAGCAAGAGAAGAAGGAAAATACTCCTTTGGTGGAGGCGTGACGGTGCCTCCTAGGTTTCTTTATCCCGTTCTTGTGAGCCTTGTAGGATTGGTTATGAGCTGTGTGATTCTTCGACTTTGCCATCTCTGCAACGCACAGTAAAAAACGAAACAGTTAGCGGAGAATCTTACACCAGAAAGAAGGCTATAAAACGAAGCAGAGACATCGATTTAGATGAAAAAAACAAAAAAAAAAAAAAAAAAAAAAAACAACCTGACGAAAATGGAGAGAGCGCGACTCCGCCGACGACTGCTGAGAAGAGAGGCAAGCGAGAAGGTCCCTTGAAACCCTAGGGCTAAGGTATTTATATAGATACTAAAATGACAAAAATACCCTTGGGCCTGAAATTAGCCCAATGAAAATTCCAATCCAGAAATAAGCCCATTTAGGCAAATTATATAAGTTTGTTAAATTTGGTAACAAATTTTAAAAAAAAAATTAATATTAAACAAAAATATTTTATTTTATAACTATTTGACAATTTTCCTTTTACAAAATAAAATATTATATAATTAATAAAAATAACTAAATATAATTTTTATTAGTAATTAATTAAATAAAATTCTGGATTCGCCTCAAAATTCCAGTTGTAGGCTTACAGCGCTGAACTGTACAGTGAAAATAAATAAATAAATAAATAAATAATAACCGATAATAATAAATACAAAATTACAAATACCCAAATGCAAATAACCAGATCCCCATTTTATGATTCATCGCTCTTCGTATCCTCACTGGATCTGTCACAGTTCTTCTTTCAATCAAAACGATCTGGTCCTTTGCCCCTATTGGATCTCCACATATAGCTCTGCTCACTCTTAGCAGATCGTTTTGAGTATTTTTCTTCAGCTCCAAATCTAAGCTCGGGGAACCCCCAAACAAAATGTTTATCGTAGATTGGTTCTATGGGGTCCTTGCATCATTGGGTCTCTGGCAAAAGGAGGCTAAGATTCTTTTCTTAGGTCTCGATAATGCCGGAAAGACCACTCTCCTTCACATGTTGAAAGATGAGGTGAGAATAATTCAAGGGGTTTCCGGCTTTTAATTTTCTCGGCGATAATCATGTTCTTGATTTTGTTTGTATCTTGTTTTTTTTTATTTTTATCTTTTTTCAATCAATTGGTTTTTGGGTGTTCTGTCGAGATTGATCGATGGCGGTATTGATATGATTCAATTGCAGAGATTAGTACAGCACCAGCCGACACAGCACCCGACATCGGAGGAGCTGAGTATAGGCAAAATCAAATTCAAAGCGTTTGATTTGGGGGGCCATCAGATCGCTCGTCGAGTCTGGAAAGATTACTATGCAAAGGTAAAGCTTTTCCTCTTTGACGGCGATGACTGTTATTCTAATTGTAGCGGATCTAACAAGTTAACTTACTATGATGCTAATAGAACGATTCATCTTCGGTTATTGTTTTCGTCCTTGTGTAATATCTTCGAATTTTTATATTTATGATAAATCTTTTATGGTTTCTACTTGATATCGTTATGTACTTGTTTGACTCGGGCTATAGAATGGAGGGAGGGACACTTATTATATATGGTTTCAGAGCTTTCTTCAAGATGAATGTCTCGGACCATAGCAGATGTCAATGGATGTTATTAGTAGTCGTACCCTTTTGGTTTTAGACTCTGCTTTTCGTTTTCTGTCATTGGTTCTTATTTGTTCGGGTTTTTATTTTAGCTAGCTGGATTCTTACTCTAATTTTCTCTGGCAATTCTATGTTTCAAAGTTAAACATTTGGTGATACTTTAATCCAACATGTCAAGAAAAGTTTTTCGATACCCTGCTTCTATCATCCATTTTTTATAATTGTGGTGGATTAGCTTTGTCCTTGAATCCTTGGGAACCTTTTTTTCTTTTGCAAAAATAGATGGAATCTTTGTGGTGCTAGATGTGCAACTGAGTGTTGTTTTTCTGTCTCTACCTGTTTTTCTTTCATAATTTCAGATATTTCTTTTGTGTTTTTCTGATTCATGAAAGGCGATATTGACAAATAGAACAGAAGTTTTGCTGATAGCACCTCTTTCGTAATCCACTAGGTGTTTCAATAGTAGCTTTGCTTACATATGTCTCTTCTGGCGCTGGTTGTATTTGCTTTTATGCATAGGCTTTTAAATGAAAGAAGTTTTCCCAGGAATTAGAGCTCTACTTATTAATGGGTGTGTAGGAAATGCGAGAGACCAGATTATATGTTTTTATCCCATCCCTTCACTTAAGAGGTTGAATATTTGTCTTGAGCTCATTGAACTGTCTAACTTAACAAGTGAAGTCATGGTTTTGTTTTCTAAAGCAAGAGGAGCAGTGTGTGCATTGGTTCTGGTAACTGTTATCTTCTTTGAACGTCAAAGTTCTCAGATTCATTTGAGCTCAAAATGTTCTGTATGTCACGGTGATGATAAATGTGATATCTGAAATATAAACTTGTTACTTTTTTCTAGTTCTTTCAATATCTTATCAAATTTCTGACGATTCGATATGATACTTCAAAAAATATGTGTGTTGTTCATGAACTAATGGTTTGGATGATGTTTTCTCTCCTCTTGCTAAACAGGTGGATGCAGTTGTCTACTTGGTGGATGCCTATGACAAGGAAAGGTTTGCAGAGTCAAAGAGGGAGCTTGATGCCCTTCTTTCAGACGAGGCCCTAGTGAATGTTCCCTTTCTTATCCTTGGCAACAAGATTGATATTCCCTATGCATCCTCGGAAGACGAGCTTCGTTATCATCTTGGTCTTACCAATTTCACAACTGGGAAGGGAAAGGTGAATCTCACAGATTCCAGTGTTCGACCTTTGGAAGTTTTCATGTGCAGCATCGTTCGCAAGATGGGATACGGTGATGGCTTCAAGTGGCTCTCTCAATACATCAAGTAGAGTTTTTGTGTTTGGGGGGAGGAGGGAAAAATAGCATGTTACCCAGAATTTCTTCTTCTGGGAAATCTTCCATTCCGTTTTTCCATTGTCTGACTACAATTAAATTGAAAAAGTAATTCCTAATTTGTCTCTGTTATTGAAGGTAGTAACTTTTGAGAAAAGATTTGATCAATGGCAATTTGCAAGTTTGTGTTTTTAAGGACAGAGCCTGTGTGTAGTAATACATTCTGATTCTTGGTAGTCATCTCTTTATTACCACTCTAGAAAAACACCATTGAATTTTATAGACTTCGAGGTTTAAAACCACTTCCCTCTTGCTCTAATTTTAGTTTACATGTTATATAATTAATATAAATATAAATATATATATATATATAATTAAAAAATATTTGTAGATTAATCTGAACACGTAATATCTTTTAAAATTATTTAAAGTAAAATAAAAATAAAATCAATATAATACATAAATTAAATTTAAAAATCCACAAATGTGGCTGTAGTGGAACCTCCTCCGCATAGAAGTCAAAGTATTGACTTTTGTCGCGAATTTCTAAAACGCGATAACCCATCTTCCACGTAAGCATCCGCTCACGACAGTCGATGCCTCTGGTTGGCCAGCAACCTAAGAAATGACGCGTGATAACCAATAGAAAACATCCACGTGGACGCGTTCCTTCCCTAATTTACTGAACCGAGACTCCACCGCGGGCAAGATGTGATGGTTCCGCCTGCCGACCGAACCGGGCCCAATAAGTATTATAAATTTCACTCGTCTGCTATTATATAGATACATATATATATATATATATATATTCTCCATTTCTAAAAATTCTTCTATCAATTTTATATAAATAATCAATTATTTACTTTGGAAAAAAAAATATAAGGACTTAAAAATCATTGTTGAATAATTCTACGAATGGAAGGGGAATTGCAATTATTCAAAGGATTCGCTCAATACAAATTCTAAACCTTTTATACGCCTTTCCAAATTAAGCAAATGCGTTAGACTGTAAGAAGCTCACACCATATGAACAAATTTTCCAACTTTCAATTTAGTGAGAGTAGCAAAAATACCATACGATCGAAAATTCATGATACCATGCCCTTGTTGGGTTGGTGAATCTACAGGCTCATCATATATATTTCTAACTGCTAAATTTTCAAAATTAAATTTGAACCCATTAATGAATTCATGAAGTAAAGAGTCAGATTTATTTTATTTTAATTTTTTTCGGGATATTATTTCTGAATTTAAAGTCTAGGCATCTTAGAATTCTGTCTCGCAAACCCACGATTCTGCAATGCTATTTGACAAATAGGTCATGCTGTGAAGTGGAGTGGCAAGCTAGCTAGAAGATAAATACGGCCTTGAATTCAACTGCATACCTAAATTTCCATGTCCAGACCTGCTCAGCTCGGTGGAAAGATTTCCCTTCGTGGAGTTGGAAATTGAAATTCCTGCATTTGGAAAATTCCATCACCTAAAACTAGTAAATGCAGCCTCATAAATCTCATAGTATTGACATTGAAACTTGAACCCCTCCATAACTTTAAACGCAGAGTGAAAGGGTCAACAGTGCCCATCCATCTGAATACTGGCATTTACAAAGATGAAAAGGCTAGTCTTTAGCACCCTCTAGTGCCACCGTCACTATGGTACACCCATACACTCCATTCCTCACCGAAACTCTTGAGGTTTCAACAAATCAGTATCGTAGTCTTCAAGGCATTCATATTCCAACTGCAAGAGAAACAAAAGGTCCATAAAAATTGGCCCAAGTACAAAAGAAATTGCTTTTCTAACTTCAAGATGGATAACCCAACCCACCTTTGCTTGATCATGTGCCAGTTTCATCCTTCGATACTCTTCCTGGGCTTTCTTTGAACGGAACATAGCTTGTACACTCACAACAGATCTCTCAACACGCTCTTCCGCTTGTTTCTGGCTCGTCTTATAGAAGTCCTCTACATCACTTTCCTGACCCTGATCTGCTACATCTTCGCACTTGTCAACACTAAGACCTCGGAAGCCTCTTCTCTTTAGACGCCACCGTAGAATTGCTTTCTCAACCACTCCAACTGACCATAGAATCTTACGGTACTGCCTCCTCACTTGAAAACCTCGGAAAGCAGCCTGCAAAGGACATAATGCACTTTAATGTCAGTCCTGAATGTTTACATGATATAAAATAATGTTTAGAATGCCACAATCATAAAGAAAATCAGGGAAATGAACATCCGAAAGATGATTAAAAAATGTCCATTCGATTTTAAAATCATGGTTAGATTAATTAAAATATGAAAACACTAATCACCAGGAAAAAAAAAGGCAAATTGGGATGTTTTCAGTACAATAATTACCACAGGCCTAAAACCACCAGGTAAGGAACAACTACAAACTTCAGTCAACTCATAAAATAAAATAGATATCAAACTAACACCTTACTTGTCCAAAATAGATTCTCATTACTCGGGTTTTAATGTAACCTAAGCCAGCAACTAGTTGGTGGAGCAGCTTACCTGGATTTTGATAGCCTGACGACGCATGGTTAGAAATTCTCTACGCATTTTCCAGGTACGGAACCTATGTTGGATGCGGGCAGCAGCTGCCAACCTTTTACGTGTCTCATAATTGCGGAAAGCATGTTGAATCTTCATTGCTGCAATTATATTCCGTGCATCATCCTCTGGACTTGAAGCCTCGACTGCTTTAGTTCGGACTTTAAGTGAATGCTCTCTGAATGCAACCTGTATCCGTGATGCTGCTTCAGCAACTGTCCTGTATGCTGCCAACGTATCCTTCAAATACAGCTCCTCCTCAGTGAGGTTCTCGGTGTTTGTTTTATCGGTTGTGCTGCTCTGAAGAGAGCCACTAACATTCCCAGCTAGACTCATATCCTTGAACTGTGCAACTAAAGCCTTTTCTGAAAGAAAAGCAGCCAAACCATCATAACCATTCTTAGATGCAAGATCTGCCGCAGTGGATCCACCAGGATTTTTGGAAGTTGGGTCCGTGACCAAGTTTGGTTTTGCCCCAGCCGATAAAAGAACAGCAACCATTTTTTCCCTTCAGTTTTTGAATCAAGAAGCATCACAGTTAACTTTAAATTTCGAGGTTACTTTATAGTTGCTATGAAGGTAAACAAGATGCTGCTACATGTTTTCCACCAACTCTGTGAAAATGTCAACAAAATATGTATACTACTACATTCAACTCAGTTCCTACTAACTTGATTCTTTTGATTATACGATGATGGTGGAGGGAGGTGTGTTCTGGAGACTGGAAGTGGAATGTAAGGAAAGCATAAACCCAAGAACCAAGAATATAGAAAAATTGGGATGCAATCACAAAATGAGATAACAATTGTTAACACTACAAATTACAGGATTCAAGAACTAAAGAGAAAAAAAGGGAACAAACCAAATAGTCAAAGAGAATGTGTGTAAATCAACAGAATAATAAAACCTCTTACCTTCCATAAAAAGCTGCCCAGTGGAGAGCTGTCCATCCATGCTTATCACGAAAATTTAATGATATGCCAGACCAAGAGAATAGATGAATAGCCCATGTATACCCAAGGATAGAACAGAGATGGATAACTCCTTGACCGTGAGCATCATATTCAGTGGCTTTACAGCCTTCAAGTATTCTTTCTATCAGCCATTCCTTTAACCTGTTCTTCAAAGTAAGTTCAAATAACATATCTTTCGCTTCTGGAAATGAAGTTTGATTGTCTTGAATTGACTTCATCAAATATGCCCAACTATTAGAAAGGTGAGAGGTTTTCTGGGCAAATTTTCTGGCCTCCTTTAAGGAACTTGGTGACACCTTACTGGATAGAATGTCAAGGCTCTTATTTGTAGAAAAGAGCAAATAAGAGAGCCTTGTCTGAAGTTGAAACTTTTCCCACTTGAACAGCTCTTCTGTCTTTACTACTGGATCATGCACATTCGGCACGATATCAAATTTAGAAACCG